GTTTTCTACTAAAGGTATCAGATATTAAAAAAGTCAATTTAAGTGTAATGACTGCTGCCCATTTGCTTTAGATGGTGCGTCATGATAAGTTATCTTAGATTTTAGAACACCCACCTTGTTTGGATCTTTGAGTAAGAGGTATTTTCCGTCTTCCTGCTTCATGAAAAAATCGATGACACAACGCAGAATGCCTAAAGCATTATCCATGTTTAAACTGATTTGTGTAGCAAATTCAGTCGGCTTGAACTGCTGCATGCCCAGAATTACATGTTGAGAACTGTCCTTCGGGTTAGAACGAGATACAAAGCTGATTGAGGAAGAAAAGAAATAAAAGAGATAAGGATAAAATCGACTGTCATAAAGTTGCTACGAGTGATTTAGTTATGATTGAATGTAGAGCAGTTTACTGACCGACTAATCCTGCCTTCTGCACATAACTGTTTATCACGAAAAAACTTTGAAATTGATTCAGTGTTATAATATCGCTAATAAATATCACTACAAATACCAGATACTCATTATAAAAGCTAGGTGAATTAAGAAACAGAGATAGACATGAATTTTTGAATAAACGATAGTAAGCAATATAAAGAATAGAGCGTGGGTGATAATACAGCACGAGAAAAACCAATGAGGTACAAAAATGTCATTTAAATTGACAAAAACATAAATGATCCCATTTCGAAGATAAAGAACTTTACTTGTCCGATTACAGGAAAGAAGTTGAGTAATAAAAAGTTGGCTTTGGAAGAGTCGATTGGTTTATAATTGTTGAGCTCACTTCAATCATAGATTTTAAAGTAACAATCATAGTTAAAAAATAAAGGATAGTATTTTAAAATCTATTAACAGAGGGAACATAAAACTAGTCGATAGAAACCAATGTGATAATGAACTGGTACACTTTCACTTTCACGCGAAAGCAAAGGTAACCAAATTGACCAGATGTGTTCAACATTGTGCAATTGAACTGATGATAAAAATATAAAGAAAAAAGGGATGGTGGTCAGACTCAAATCTTAATTACATAAAAAAGGCGCTGTTATAATTACTTTGGGCTATAACTGCCTGCATTTAGTACATATACGAACATACGAAAGCACATAAACA